GTTAATTTTTTTTTTTTTTTTTTTTTTTTTTTTTTTTTTTTCAGCCACGGTACTGCTTTGATAAAGAATACGTTTTTGTCAGAGAGCGGCCGTACCAAGAAATAAGATAGGGGATTGTACACGGAGTTTGTATAGAGGGTGACGGTAAAAATTACAACAATAATTGGTGTGTGTACGAGTAGGAAAAATATGGAATAAAAGAAAAAAAAAATTATATTAGTTACGCACTTTATGCCAGATTATCTGTGGTGTGACACTAATATAATGGTGTTCAAATAATGGGCTGAGTTTTTTAAGTTATTGCTAGAACGTGTATTCATTATTTCATTTTTGATTTCTATACAATATTAAAATTTAAAGTTATTGAGCTCTGCAAGTAATGCATTGCTAACTTTAAGTTTCAACGAAAAGAAGAATACGCGAAGAAAATGTGTCATTTGTGGCGTATTTTATGAAACAAATTAATTTAATCGGTCATTAAAATACCCATCAATTAAAAATTTAATTTAATTACCATTTGAAAAAACTTTCAACTAATAAGTGTAATTTATTATGATTCTTTCGAGGAAATTTAATATTGCAGAAGCCAGAAATATTTCGTGTTAAATCTCGCTTAATCTCGAAAGTTGTTAATTTTTCAATTTAGTTTGTGGATATTTACAGTCAAAATATATCGAAAAAAAAAAAAAATTTATTTTCATTGATGAATTGAAATATTTTTTAAAATTCAAATGAGTATATATGGTTATGGTCTTTGCTCTAGTAAAAAATTATACAGTGTCAATATATATCGTGTACGGATTGTGAGCTTATTTTTTTCTTTCTTTTTTTCTTTTTTTTTTTTAATAATCGTTGCATAATTTAGAGCCACAGGAGGAGGAATGATGGTACGTTTTGTATAAGTGTCATGGTAGTTGAAAGATTTTTTTTTTTTTTTTTTTCTAATGTGTATTGAGATCGGTCGAAACGATATTTCTGTGTTGTCCTGTACATACACATAAAATAGGGGGGGCTTGGAAGTTTAAAGCTTATGCAAAGTGGGAGGGGATACAATACAGTATAGGTTTTTGCTTTTGTCAGTATTGAGTTGCGAAGATTTTAGTTTTTTGTTGATGAGACGTAGGAGCAAAAAAAAAAAAATTTTGGCAAATACGATACATCGATTTGTTTGACAAGCGTATCGTTAAACAGTTGCATCGTTTAATGGATTTTCAAGAACAAACAACGACTCGTCCAATTTTTACAATAATTAGCAATAAAGACAAAAAAATAAAGTAAAATAAAATAACAATTTTGAAATTACGTTACAATTTTCTTAATAACTTTATTGTACAAGAATTTTTCTGATTATTGTTTTTTTATGATTTGCTCAACCTTTGATTTCAATTTCGGTTCCTTCTATTTCATGATTTTTCGTAGATTACGACATGTACACGTACGTATGAAAAAAAAAAGCTTAAAATCCCAATGAAGACACATAACGTCACACGTGTTACAAGTAAAAAGAGTAGAAAAAAAAGGGACAACTGTAGACGGGGTAAATGACCGGTGTCTCTTTCCCTCCGTTTGCAATTAAGACTGCGAGCAATGGTTCAGCGATGACCACATGTAACGCGACTCTCGCACACACATGACGCAACCGAAGTCAGTTACTTACCCTCCTCTTCTTCTTTTTTTTCTTTTCTTCGTACTTCTCATTTTTTTTCTTCTCTCTCCCTTGAAGTATTTGTGTGAAATTAGACCGATTTACCGTTTTTCATCCGGACGTACCGATTTTTTTTTTTCCCCCGTTTTTGGTGAAAACCAAAACTATACTTACCGATCTCTTAGAGACGCCCCAACTTTGATACACATTTATGCGAGCCTCACCCGGTATTTACTTAATTAACAGCCGCACTCCTGTTGCAATGTTTAAACGAATAGATAACAATGATTTTGTGTTACCATACCTATGGACAAGCAAGATGAAAAATTAAATCCTTTTTTTTCGTAATAATAGTGTTTTTTGCATTAAACACAAAAATGATTTTCGTGCGGTCCAGAAAAAGGTTTTTCTAGTTTTTGGATGCGATCTTACTTTGTCGTTACCTATATATGGGTGATGAATCAGAAAAATTGTGGTCATCGATTTGATAGATCCCTTTGTTTTAGGGGGAAAATCTTACTTTTCCATAACTTCGACAAAATCAACTTGTTTTCAATACAAAATTTTTTTCAACTACGGCTTAGACAGGAATTTAAAAAAAGGTATCTAAAATTGGTCGTAAAGTGGTGGCGTACGTAAGAAGCAGGGCAAGAAGAAAAGTTTTCCTACCGAGGGCGCAATGAACGTTCAAAGATGATAAAAAAAAAAAAAAAAAAAAAAAAAAACGCCCAAAGTAGGAAATGGTGCGTATCGTACCATTGATAATACAAATCGCGGATTTCTTCGCCCATGGGAAGAAATGTATACACTAATTGAATACAACATCAGCTCCTGGTACATACATATATACATATACCCGCAAAAGGGCAATAATGATCATTTATTTTTCCAAGACCCTGGCATCCACATGAGCAAGTTGCTCCAATTTTCACGAAGCCAACGCTCGCTACTGGCCTTCCTCTATATGTGCCCCTCTCTCTATTGTATATATTCTTATTGCGGTAAACTGTACGTATAAGTGATATCAGCTCGTCGCGAGTCGCGAATAAAATAAGACCGCAACCTCGCGCTTCATACAGCGTGTGACGCACGTGCCTCTGACGTCACGCTTATGTAGACGAGACTCTAATATATATCTCATACCAATATATATGTGTGTGTGTGTGTTGTATATATGCGCATATATATGCGGGTATAGATGATAATGTAGCTAACGACGGCCGGCGGGGTCGTAATGTACCGTGAAATTAAATTATTGTCGACACCATCGTCGGTAAACTATGCGTTGAAGATTCCCTGGGTTAATTTTTTTATTTTTTTAGAAAATAATGAAATTTTAGCTTTTTATTACTACCCAATTTCTTTCAAAAAACCGATAAATTAACAGGGGTCACAGTCAATTTCGTAAAAATTGGTCGCCTTATCAGTCATTTGCAACTAAGGTCTTTTTACAATATCTTGAGGTAAAATATGTGTATCAGATACAGTTTTGGAGATTGATGAATTAAATTCAATTGCATGATTACGTTGTTTTGTTTACTAAAAACTGACAATGTTTTTTTTTCTTTTATTTATAAATTAATTGTTTTTTTTTATTTTTGTAGCTAACACTGTTATAACAAGGC